GAGAGAGAGAGAGAGCAAGGGAAACATTGAGCATAGAGGGATCTTTTGTTCAAAAGTTGACCATCTCGGTCGAGCGCATGAAGCGAAATGATTGTGCGTTCGTATTTTTTCGTAGCTCGAACCTAAAAGTAAGGAGCCGAGCGAGTCCAAAGTCTGGGGTGTTAAAGCCTCAAAAAAAGCGTGCAAAAAGCTTTCCACTAGTTGTCTAGTCTATGTGGTTAGTGTTAGTATGTACATATGTACATATATTAGATTGTTAGCACACACAAATATTGCTAAGATAGCAGCTCGACATTTCCATAACTTAAGTTACGCCGAAAAGTCGAAATCAAACTATCGACCGCTATCAAATATAATAATATGAGTTTTCGTAAGTTAAATCGATGCATTCGTTGCTGTGCTTATTTAACCATAACACTACATTTCTCGCCTGCATTATTTATTTTTTATTTGTCCACTTACAATTTTTTCCACGCCGAAAATTACAATAAAAATCGAAATTCTATACAATACATATGAGTCTAGATTTAAAATTTGGAAACTTTAGCTCTAAAGGTGTAGGAGATATAATTAAAAAACTAATTTTAGATAATCGATAACAAAATATCGGGACTAGCTATCAATTTTTTGAGAAAAACTCGATATGTGCGTGATATACACGAACCTAGGAAAAAAATTCAAGTCTCTAGCTCTTATATCTTCTGAGATTGTATACATACGGGCATGAGGATATATTATGAATGAAAGGGGGTGGCATAAAGCATCAAACATATTCGCTAGTCGGGCTCTCCTAATTTAATTCCTCTCATTTATTTGACAGGGAGGTAAGATACCAGTACGTTGGACCGCGCCGGAAGCAATTGCGTTTCGTAAATTTACATCAGCATCAGACGTTTGGTCTTATGGAGTCGTTTTATGGGAAGTTATGTCTTATGGCGAACGTCCCTATTGGAATTGGTCGAATCAAGTAAGCGTAAAGTACATTTTGTCTATAAATGACTGATTAAAACGATGAATCTATAACTTGCTTCCAATTAGGATGTCATAAAGAGCATTGAGAAGGGCTATCGTTTGCCAGCACCAATGGATTGCCCGGAGGCATTATATCAGCTAATGCTGGATTGCTGGCAAAAGCAACGAACACATCGCCCCACATTTGCCAGCATTGTGTCTACTTTGGACAACTTGGCTAGGCAGCCACAATCGTTGCTAACGACGCGAAATTCTCCAGAAAATGATAGCAGTACACATATTTTGGATGCACAACGTGGTCATAACATATTTATAAGCACTGATCTATGGCTGGAGAATATCAAAATGTCTAGATACAGTCAACACTTTAGAGAGGCTAATTTAGTGAGTGCTCAACAGGTACGTCTATTGTGCTCCTTTGTATCGCAAGCCCATGTTCTTTTCAATACTTTCTTATTATTTTTATATTTGTAGATCTCAAGATTAACAGCTCAATTGCTATCGGATATGGGTATAACATTAGTAGGGCATCAAAAAAAGATTTTACATCAAGCACGGCAGCTGGATACAATAATATAATCATCATAATCATAATATATATA